CCCTCTCTCTCTCTGTGTATCTCTCTCTGGTCAAATTAAAATAAATGAATGAATAAATAAAATTAAATAAATAATTATTAAAAAAAGATAAACAAAATTGATAAACCACTAGTGAGACTTATTAAGGAGAAAGGAACCAGGTGAATCAGATCTGCAATGATTCAGGCAAAATAAGAGCAGACATAGTAGAAATACAAAAATTATTAGAGGATACTATGAACATCAGTATGCTAAGAAACAAAACATTCTGGATGAGACGGACAAATTCCTGGATACATATAATCTACCACAGACTCTAGCAACATAACCACTATGCCACCTGCTGGCCCCAAATAAGTAAATTAAAAAAAAGAAAAAAGGAAATCAATAAGGCAAATCTCAGGACAAGAAAGAATTATAGATCTAGATTCAAAGGTATAGAAACTATATCCAGCATCTTCTCCGAACATGATGGAATCAAACTTGAGTTTTATTTCAAGAAAAATCCTCAAAAATACTCAAATATATGGAAACTAAATAACCTACTTCTGAAAGACTCCACAACTATTAAAAAAATAAAGACTGAAATCAAAAGATTCATGGAAGCCAATGACAATGAGGACATGAGTTTCCATAATCTTTGGGACACTGCTAAAGCAGTTCTAAGAGGAAGTTCTTAGCAATTTAGTGCACATAAGAGGAAGACGGAAAGAAGGCAAATGGATCACCTAACATCATGCCTCAGAGAATTGGAAAAACAACAGCAAAAAAAAAGAAACTCCAGGAGAAAGGAAATAATAAAGAAAATGAGCAGAAATAAGTGAAATAGAAAATAAACAAACTATAGAGAAAATAAACAAAAATAAAAGCTGATTCTCTGAAAAGATAAACAAAATTGGGGACCAGTAGGTGGCATGGTGATTAACACTCCCACATGGCCAACTGTGGTTCAAGTACTGGACCTGGTGGCTTGCTTTCTCACTTTCCCTCTCTCTCTCTGTGTATCTCTCTCTGGTCAAATTAAAATAAATGAATGAATAAATAAAATTAAATAAATAATTATTAAAAAAAGATAAACAAAATTGATAAACCACTAGTGAGACTTATTAAGGAGAAAGGAACCAGGTGAATCAGATCTGCAATGATTCAGGCAAAATAAGAGCAGACATAGTAGAAATACAAAAATTATTAGAGGATACTATGAACATCAGTATGCTAAGAAACAAAACATTCTGGATGAGACGGACAAATTCCTGGATACATATAATCTACCACGACTGAGCCAGGAGGATATAGAAAGTCTAAATAGGCCCATAACAAGCCAGGAGATTGAATCAGTTATAAATAGCCTTCCAATAAAGAAAAGCCCTGGCCCTGATGGCCTCAGCTCTGAGTTCTACTTTCAAAGAAGAGTTAATCCTCATTCTGCTCAAGTTATTTCTAAAGATCCAAAAGGGTGAATCTTTCCCTAATTCATTCTATGAAGCCTCTATCACCCTTATCCTTAAAAAAGGTAAGGACAGGACCAGGAAGGAAAACTATAGGCCAATATCCCTGATGAATGTACACACAAAGATTCTCAACAAATTACTAGCAAATCGTATCCAACAACTTATAAAAAGGATTATACATCATGATCAGGTAGGCTTTATTCCAGGAATGCAAGATTGGTTCAATATACATAAAACCATAAATGTAACACACCATATCAACAGGAAGAAAGATAAAAACCATATGGTCATAACAATTGATGCAGAAAAGCATTTGATAAGATACAACATCCCTTCAGGATCAAGACTCTCAGCAAAATCAGCATAGAAGGTTCATTTCTTAACATAATAAAAGCTATTTATGAAAAACCCATAGTGAACATCATCCTCAATGGAGAAAATCTGAAAGCTTTTCCACTAAAAATGGGTACAAGACAAGGATGCCCACTTTCTCCACTCCGTTTCAATATAGTACTGGAAGTCCTCACCAACACAATCAGAAAAGAGGAAAAAGTAAAGGCATTCAAATAGGAAAAGAAGAGGTGAAACTCTCTCCATTTGCAGATGACATGATTGTATACATAGAAAGCCCAATGGTTTCCATGAAAAAATTTCTGAAAGTAATATACAGTAAAGCTGTAAGATACAATATTAGCATCCAGAAATCTATAGCATTTCTATACATGAACAACAGGTAGACTGAGATAGAACTGAAAAAAGTAATTCCATTTACCATAGACACAAAAAGTACACGATACTTAGGGATAAATCTAACCAAAGAAGTTAAAAACCTCCACAAGGAAAACTACAAGAAGATAAAGAAATTGAAAATGACACAAAAAAGTGGAAGGATATCCCATGTTCCTGGATTGGAAGAATTAATATAGTCAAAATGGCAATTCTACCCAAATTAATCTTCATATTTAATGCAATGCCTATCAAAATACCAGACACATTCTTAACAGATCTAGAAAAGACAATCATAAAGTTTGTCTAGAATCATAAAAGACCCTGTATTGCCAAAGCAATTCTGCACAAGAAGACTGGAGTGGGCGGCATCTCACTCCCTGACTCAGAAATATACTACAAAGCTGTGGTAATCAAAACAGCATGGTAATGGCCCTGAAACAGACACGTGGACCAATGGAATAGAATAGAGTCCCCAGAAATAAATTCCCAAACATACAGTCAACTGATTTTTGACAAGCGGTACCAGTCAATCCAGTGGGAAAAGGAAAACCTCTTCAACAAATGGTGCTGGAAAAACTGGATTTCCACTTGCAGAAAGATGAATCTGAATGCCTACCACTCACCTCTGACAAAAATCAAGTCAAGGTGGATCAAAGATCTAAATCTAAGACCTCAAACTATAAAACTGCTCCTGGAAAACACTGGGGAAACTCTGGCAGACATTGGAGTAGGGAA